TGTATTCTACTGAAGTTTAAAAAAAGAAGAAGAAGGAGGAGGAGGAGGAGGAGGAGGAGGAGGAGGAGGAGGAGGAGGAGGAGGAGGGGGAGGAGGAGGAGGAGAAGAAGAAGAGGAAGAAGATGAAGAATAGAGAAAGTGGAATAGGTAACTATTTCTTAGAATAATGATTGATAATCTGATTAGCTTTTAAAAGGCATACAACTTTAAAGTCAAGAATCTTCCCATAAACTCTAACAGATATACCCAGAAATCACCCATATAGACTTACAACTAGAAATATCTCAGAAATCACAGAACTGGGAATAAACAGAAGAAGGATTACAAAATTTCTCAAGGGCAAAAGGAGCTGGAAGTATAACATTGTCACAGCTTGGGGAACAAACTGTCAGCCTAGAATTTGAGTTCCTAGAAGACATCTAGAATGATCATTCAGAAGATTGCAATTAAAATTATTTTCAATCAAATAAAAATGTCAGTGCTCCTTACCAATGGCTTTCTATACCTCACTGAATGCATAACCAAAGTATTTTAGAAAGTAGAACTAAACCCCAAAATGAACGCATCAAGAAACTATGGCTGACAAGCTAAACAGAGCCTGCAGTCTGGTTTTGTTCTTCTGAGCAAAGAAATTTGATTTTAAACATACTTGATATTTTCTTCTACTTAGTCCTTCTGCATTATATCTTCTATATTTTCTAAAGTCTTCATTTAATTTCACTAATGCTTTTCCAAACTGTCTCTAATATTTAACTGATTAACCAAGACACTAATTTCTGGACATTTCCCTGCCTCCAATTTCTAATCAATTGATTTATCTTGAGTTGTTTTTAAATAGTAATGTGGTTTGTTTGTTTTTAAATGTCATTATTGCAATGTCTTATGCATTATAAATTAAATCTTCATATTTCTTTTCATAACCCTTGACATTCACCATGAGATGCCCTGTCTGGTAAGTGATATCTACAATTCTCTTTACTATTATGCTTTTTCTAACCCCAGGATCACACTCAGTCCATGCACAAAGTAAACTTAATAGGCAAAATAGTCTGTACTTCCATAAACAGCTTTTATCCACTGAGGTATGATATTAAATTAATAAACATCCCAGCTTCCTGTATTTAAGCACATTTGACATTTAGCACATTTGACACTTTCTACATGTCTTTTTTTTTCTTTTAATGTTACTCTCATAGAATAGCCTGACAAGTAATACAAGGGAAAAAGAGTTTATTTTGGTTCACACTTCAAGAGTAACATCCATCATGGCTGGTCAGCCAAAGTAGCAGAGTGTGAGGCCGCTGGTCCCATTGCATCCGTATTCAGGAAATAGATAATGCTGGATTAATGTATGCTGCTACTCTCTCTTTCTCCAACTATACAGTCCAGAATTCCATCCAGGTAATGGTGCCACATATATCAGGTGTGTTTTCTCACTCTAATTAATGTTATCAAAATAGTCCCCCACAGTCATATTCAAAGACCCGACTCCCAAGTGATTCTAGATTCTGTGAAGTTGACTACTAACACTATCACACCAGGAGAGTCTCTAGTAAGATTCAGATTTTGTGTCCACAACATTTACATGTTTTCTTATTTTCTGTATATTCTATTAATATATTCTGAGACTGCCTATTGCATGAGCTGCTTGCTTTTGGATCTTTGTTTTAGGAAGTGTTTCTGCAAAATAAACTATTCACCACTTGATCATCCCATGCTGTGGGCCTCTTGAAAAATACCTCTTAATGCATCCTTTGTTGCCTTGTTATTCTGTGTTCCTCATTATTTTTAGCAGTGTGAATTCATTTTGCCTGGTGTATCTCTGAGACTCTTATAAGGCTGCGGTTGTGTATTCATCCTGGGTGTCCTTAAAAAAATATGTCTTCTTTGCTTCCACCAAACTTACTGGAATGTTATGAAGCAATAGAGTTGAACCAAGAACACCTTTCAACTTGAATTTTCCCTAGCAGTGTGGATAGTACTTTTTCTGTATTCAGGAATAGTTGCGGGAGTCGGATCTCTTTGGGATACAATTGAGTGCCATCTCCAGGACCACTACCCTGTGGGAAGTGTTGAAATCCCAACAGATGCTAGCAGATGAAGTAGTGGCAGCAGTGGATTATCCAACAGAGGCAGCATCAGAATTCTCCATAAGGAAACCACCAAAGCTTCAGAGATAGGAGAGGCAAAACAAATCTGAGACAACATATAAGTTGTGTCCAATATATTGCATCGTACCTACACGTTGTTAAGAGATCAATTTCTTTCAGTCTTGAACTGAGTCTGATAAAGACAAGTCATCTTGAGTCCCTGACATCATCTTTTCCTGGGGAACTATGACACATTAGAGGACTCAGTTGAAAGCCTGCCTCTTCCAAAGGACCAAACCCTTGTCTTCATTAGAGGCTGTGTATGAAAGCTCAATCTTGCCCCTCGCATAGCAACAAAATGACCAATCCTACAAATGGGAGTTTTAGCTTCCAGTTTTAATTTCTGGCAACGTAAACTAATTTCACAGACTTTTTCTACACATTTCTCTATGCATCCAAAGGGGACTTTTAACTGGCACAGTCAGATGCAGTGCTGTTAGTCATTTTTCTATCACATTGTCAGAAAAACGATAACTAACTCTTCCATCCAATAAGTATTTATTTGCAGTTTAAGAAATCTGTTCAAAATGACATCATGAAATTTGAAGGCAAATGGATGGAACAAAAAAAAAAAAATCATCCTGAGTAAGGTACCCAGACCCAGAAAGACAAACACAAAAAACTTATGTACTCACGCATAAGTGGATAATAAATGTAAAGCAAAGGATAACCAGGCCCAGAGAAGCTCAGTAACAAGGAGGACCCTAAAAGGGATGCATGGATCACTCTGGGAAGGGGAAATGTGAGATCTCCTGTGTAGATGGGGGATGGGAATATGAAGTATTGGGATTGTTGAGTTGGGGGAGGGATGGGGAAAGAGAACAATAAAAGAGATATCTTGGTAGAGAGGGCCATTATGGGGTTAGGGAAATACCTGGTACCAGGGAAACCACCAGGAATCCACAGGATGAACCCAGCTAAGACTCCTAGCAATAGTGGAGAGGGTGCCTGAACTGACCTTCTCTTGTAATCAGAGTGGTGAATACCCTGATTGTCATCATAGAACCTTCATCCTGTAATTAATGGAAGAAGATGCAGAGATCCACAGCCAAACACTGGGCCGAGCTCCAAAAGTCCAGTTGAAGAGAGGGAGGAGGGATTATATGAGCAAAGTGGGGGTAAAGATCATGATGGGGAAACCCACAGAGTCAGCTGATTTGAGCTTGTGAGAGCTCACGGACTCTAGATCAACAGCTAGGGAGTCTGCATGGGACCAACTTAGACCCTCTGCAAAAGGGTGGGAGTTGTGTAGCGTGGTCTGTTTGTGGGGCCCCTAGCAGTAGGACCAGGACCTGTCCCTGGCACATGAGCTAGTTTTTTGCAACCTATTCCCTATGGTTGGATGCCTTGCTCAGCCTTGATGCAGCAGGGAGGAGCTTGGTCCTGCCTCAACTTGATATGCCATGCTTTGTTGACTCCCATGGAAGACCTTACCCTTTCTGAATGAAGAAGGAAGAGGAGTAGAGGGGGGAAGGGAGTAGAAGGGAGCTGGGAGGAGGGAACAGGAGAAGAGGAGGGAGGGGAAACTCTGGTTGGTATATAAAAATAACTAAAAAAAATTAATAAAAGAAATCTGTTCAATTGAATTAAAATGAAATTCAATAATGTTGGCAAATGGACATTAGTTATCATTGATTATTCTACTTTTCTCTTTGTACTTCTGTGATTTACAAATTGCCCATCCTAAATTTGTCTTAAGCTTCTAATCAAAAAATCATTTAGGAATAAAATAAGGAGCTGGAGATGACTCAGCAGTTAAGAGCATTTGCAGACGACCTGTGTTTGATTCCCAGCACCCATGTCTGCATGTCAGTGGATTCACAAACATTCCAGCTCCAGGTGATATGACTCCCTTTTCTGGCTTCTGGCTTCTGCAGACACCACACACACACACACACACACACACACACACACACACACACACACACACTTTAAAAAATAAACTTTGTTAAATTATAAAATAAAATATACAAACATATAATGCCCCCTAAGAAATATCAGTCAAATCGAGACCAATAATGGACACTTCTATTAGAAATGTTGGTTTACACCAGTGTTTTTCAACCTTGGCTGCAAGGTTTTCAACCTTGACTGTGAAAACATTTAAGAAATAGTAATGCTAAGGATGACCCCATATTAGCAATAGTGGAGAGGGTGCCTGAGCTGGCTTACCCTGATAATCAGATTGGTGAATACCCTAACTGTCATCATAGAGCCTTCATCCAGTAACTCATGGAAGCAAATGCAGAGATCCACAACCAAGCACCAGTCTGAGCTCTGGAAGTCCAATCAAAGAGAGGGAAGAGGGATTATATGAGCAAGGGGAGGTCAAGATCACAATGGCAAAATCTAGAGAAACAATTGAACCAAGCTCATAGGAACTCACCCACTTTAGACCAACAGCTGTAGAACCTGCATGGGACAGGACTAGACTCTCTGCATACAGGAGACAGTTGTGTAGCTGGGTCTGTTTGAGGGGCCCCTGGCAGTATGATCAGGATCTATCCCTGGTGCATTACCTGGCTTTCTGGAGCCCATTAACAATAGTCAGACATCTTGCTCACCCTTGATGCAGTGGGGAGGGGCTTGGTCCTGCCTCAACTGAATGTAAGAGGCTTTGCTATTCCCTCATGGGAGAACTTACCCTTTTGGAGGAGGGGAGGAGGGGTGGGTGGGGGATAGTGGGTGGAGTTAGGCTGATGGGGGGAAGTGGGAGGAGGGATGAGAGAGGAAGTTGTGGTTGGTATGTAAAATGAATTAATATTTTTTTTATAAAAAAAAAGTGATGCCAGGAAGTCAACCAAAAGGGTTCTTACCTTCCTGGCTGGCCCACAGTCAGGACAAATCTCTCTCACCCGCCAGTCCCAAGCCGCTTAAACCCAATCAAGTAAACACAGAGACTTATATTGGTTACAAACTGTATGGCCGTGGCAGGCTTCTTGCTAACTGTTCTTACAGCTTAAATTAATCCATTTCTATTAATCTATACCTTGCCATGTGGCTTGTGGCTTACCGGTACTTTACATCTTCCTTGTCCTGATGGCGGCTGGCAGTGTCTCTCTGACTCAGCCTTCCACTTCCCAGCTTTATTCTCCTCCTTGTCCCGCCTACACTTCCTGCCTAGCCAATGGCCAATCAGTGTTTTATTTAATGACTAATCAGCAACACATTTGCCATACAGAACATCCCACAGCACTTCCTTTTTTTTTTTTTTTTTCAAAAAGGAAGGTTTTAACCTTAACAAAGTAAAATTACATATAATTTGGGAATTTGGGCGTAGCTTCTCTTACTACTTCCTGCTGGAGGGGGACGCTGTATCTTATGGGGAAACAAAGAAAATTTTAGGATTATGGAATAGTCCATGAGGGTGTATCGTCTGAGCCAGTTGCCTTGAAACGGTTCTGGATGTTGGATCATCTGGGCCATGGTGTCATCAGAGACCTTTCAGGTAGTCTTGGCTGGTCAAACCTGATGTATCTTACTCTGGAACAAATCCATAGCCTCTTGTTTTCTGTGGAAACAAAAGAGACTCTTTTCCAAAGCAACATATCCTTACATCCAAATTTTGAAGTCAAGGTACCTTTAAAGTATACATTTTGACATAACTCAACAGCTTTTACAATCAAATGTTTTTCTGCAGTTAAAAGTCCCAAAGACAACACAATCCAGATTCTCTGTGTAATACTCATCTTTACGTGGCTTATTTTTTATATTAATATTACTGTCTCTTTAAAGACTTTATTTTTAAAACTATGTATTTGTTTATATAACTTTATATATCACATTTTTTGTCTCTTTCAAGCCTACATATATTTTACACACACTTTAAACTATTACATCTGAATCTGTCTTACTGTGAATCTATTGCCTTAAACTGCAGCAGCTGTGGCTGCTGGCTCCGCCCACCTCAGCTTCCCAACATGGCTACGTTTACCACCAGCTCTGGGAGCTATGTGGGTCTATGCTTTTATCCAAACAGCGTGTAGTCCAGAAACCTCCCCTGTTGCTCTGCACCAGCAAAGGCTAAATCCACCACGCAGCTCAAAGTGCCACTTGCAAAGGCCCCACTCCCGCCATATGGCAGGTTGAGCTCGCATGCAAGGAACCCACCAGTAGCTCAAACCAGCAGCTGCCGCTCATTTGAGAGAGACAATTAGGAACTGTTTTTAGCTCCGTTTTAGAATCCTTTTTCTCAGTTTTTAGGTGGAAACTCTTGCCCCACGTTGGACGCCATTTGTTGCTAGAGTTTTCCTGGCTGGCCCACAGTCAGGACAAATCTCTCTCACCCGCCAGTCCCAAGCCGCTTAAACCCAATCAAGTAAACACAGAGACTTATATTGGTTACAAACTGTATGGCCGTGGCAGGCTTCTTGCTAACTGTTCTTACAGCTTAAATTAATCCATTTCTATTAATCTATACCTTGCCACGTGGCTTGTGGCTTACCGGTACTTTACATCTTCCTTGTCCTGATGGCGGCTGGCAGTGTCTCTCTGACTCAGCCTTCCACTTCCCAGCTTTATTCTCCTCCTTGTCCCGCCTACACTTCCTGCCTAGCCAATGGCCAATCAGTGTTTTATTTAATGACTAATCAGCAACACATTTGCCATACAGAACATCCCACAGCAGGTTCTTACCTTATTGGCCTGAGATAAAGCCCTGCTTTCAGCTTCATGAGCTCCATAGGTGCTACTGATGATCATTTACAATATTGGATAGGTGAATGTAATCTCTATAGAGAGATTGCTGTAGAGAGAGGCATGCCTAGAGGTATAAAGGGAAAGATCAAGTACCAGGCAGAAGTTCTACAACTCTAGAGTCCAACTCACATCCCAAACATCAGATCTGTCTCTACAGCTAGTAGTTCTGGTTCCTTAACTTGGACCTCGAGGCTAAACCTTGGAATAAACAAATCCATTTCTAACTTGACATATAGTCTCTGTTCCAAGTTCTACAAATCATGCTCCCCCACTAAGCCTCCACCTAAACGTCCCACTTCAAAGAACTAGGCTCCAGGCATTTTCTGTTCAGACCAATTTTCTGCATCATAGAGTTGATACACTAATGAATTATGATGATGTATGCAAGCTTTTTACAACAACAATTGGCAAACAGTAAACTCACAATGCCATTGTTGATGATATTGATACTGTTGTTAGTTTTCCTCTCCTAGACTGTTTCCATTGATGCCTTACCTTATAAGAGAAACTTTCAGGCCAGCCACAGCAGCACAGTAGTGCCTGCTCCCTCCACCAGCTCTGGCACCATGGTACCCTCCCAACCTAGAGTTCCTTTGTGTTTACCCATTCAAAGTTTATTGAGTCTCTAATGTGCTATCAGTCCTGTGGCAGAACTGGGCTACATTAAGAAAAACTGTCACAGCCTGGAAAAACACCTCCAATACCTTACTTTATATCATACACAGAGAGGCAGAGATATGATTGTGAAAATATCTCTAAGTTAGGGTTACTATTGTTGTGACAAAACACCATGACCAAAGCAACTTGGGCAGGGCTGGGGAGGGTTTACTTGGCTTGCACTTCCATATCACTATTCATCATTGAAGGAAGTCATAGCTTGCTAGGCTGGATTTCTTACAGAACCCAGGATGACAAGCCCAGGGATGGCCCCAGCCAAAATAGGCAGGGTCCTCCCCCATCAGTCATTAATTAAGAAGAATGCTCTCTAGCCTGCTCTTATGGAAGGCTTTTCTCAATTGAGCCTCTCTCCTTTCAGATAACTCTACCTTATGTCAAGTTGAGATAAAAAACTATCCAGCACAACCCATCTAACCACTGCTGAATGATGTCTGCTCATCTATCTACCCCTCCGACAGAAGCACCATAGAGAAAACGCCCATTTTTTTCTTTACTCAGCTCTCATACACTGGTCTCATATTGGTGAACAGGTCTGTCCTCATCATCCTCATGAGACACCCCCTTTATTTTTAATACAAAGATATATTTTATTATAAAATCATGTTATGTGTGATTCAAAATCAAATATATACATGCCAAGTAAAGATCTGAAATATATTTCTCAAAATTCATATAACTTCTCTTGCTTCTAAATTCACTTTTATATGTTAGTTAACTACTGGATAACTCATATTAAAGTATCTTATTTTTAATTATGTCTGTTCATGTTTGTGCACACATGAATTCAGGTGCCTGTGAAGTCCTCAAGAGGGAATTTGATTTCCTGGAGTTGGAGTTAAATGTGCTTATGAGCTGCCTGACATGAGTACTAGAAAATGAATTTAGATCTGCAACAGCAGCGCATGTTCTGATATTCTTCACCAATGGGCTATTGTTCTAGCCCCATGCTACTAGATAATTCTACTATGAAACTTTATAGTACTTTCAAAATCATATCTAAAGTGGAGCTCATCTTGTTTCTCTCCAAACTTCTTCCTTTTGTTATATCCATATATCATCTAGTTCCATGATTATTCATCCAGTTATTCTAGACCAACAGTTGATGACCATAAATCTTCCATCTTCTGTGGTGGCTTGAATGAGAACAGCATCTACAGACACATATATTTTAATACTTGTTTCTCAGGTAGTAGAACTGTCAACTGTTTGGGAAGGATTAAGTGGTATGACCTTATAGGAGGAGGTATGCCACTTTGGGCTGGCTTTGAGATTTCAAAATCCCGGGTAGTCCCAGTTAATCCTCTCTGCCTTAGTATTGTGGGCCAACATGTAATCTTTCAGCTACTGCTCCAGCCAGAATCCTGCTGCCACATTCCTCACTGTGATGGTTATGGACCCCCTGAAACCCTAAGTCCAAATCAACTCTTTCTTCTACGTGTTCATGGTGTCTCATCACAGGATAGCCTTTTATGATCTAAGATTCTAGACACATGATATGCAGAATATCAAGTACATTCACATGTACCATATCATACAAGGAGCACACAACACAGTAACTTTATGTAAGTTGGAATGGATTGTGGCTGGAGTCAAAATTGTAGGATGAGGTGTCTATCCTTAACATAACTCTTAAAATCTCTCACTTGCTTGGTGACTTCTGTGCTGGCTAGTTTTCATGTAAACTTGCCATGGTCATTTGGTAAGAAGGATTCTCAATTGAGAAAATTTCCCCACCATTTTGGCCTGTGGTAAGGCTGTGGGGTTTGTTTCCTTGTTTGTTTGGTTGGTTAATTGGTTGGTTTGGTTTGGTTTGGTTTTTTTCCTTGATTGATTGATGGTGTTGGACCCGTCTCACAGGGGGGCAGTATCACCATTGGGTGTGTAGTAGTAGGTGCTATAAGAATAATATATATAAATAATAATTTGAATAATATAAATAAAAAATAATTTTCTTATCCTATAAGAAAACAGGATAAACATACCATGAGGAGAAGTCAATTAGTAGGCTTCCTCCATGGCCTCAGCATCAACCTCTGCCTGCTCTTCTGACTTCACTCAGTGATAAACTGTGACCTGAAAGTTATAAACTGAAATAAACCCTTTCCTCCTCACATTGCTTTTGGTCATGGTGTTTTATCACAGAAGAGGATACCCTGACAGAAACACCTTTCCTGTTGCATTTCCTCTGGGGTACCCTACCTCTCCAGTGTCGTGGTGATGTTCTGACCAGGATCTCTGGAAAGCAGGTCAAAGAGGAAACCAGAAGTTCATAGAGAAATAACGAAGATTTAAATTGCGCCATCTTTATAGTTTTGCCCAGTGTTCTGATAATCACTAACACCAAATACCTCCATGAGAAATAACTCTACAGCATTAGCAGAAAAGTCCACATTCCCTTTAGATGGTCCAGTGTAGTGGGAAGAACTTGATATGGTGATTGATACCGACAGAGTAGTAGTTTTTTGCTCTCACTTCATCCTGTACCTGTGCTTGATGGCAGTCTGAAAAGAGAAGTAGGAAGGATAAAAACTCAGGCAACATAAGCAGCAAGGGGAGAGCCATGGACTATGTGCAGTCTCCGTGGTAAAAGTTCCTGCTTTCAAGCGTGCTGACGTGAATTCAATCTTCAGGACCCACATGGTAGAAGGGAAGAACTGACAATGGCATGGGCCTCTGACTACCACATGGACACTGTGGGATGAACACACACACACACACACACACATATACACATATACACACACACATATATACACACACGTACACACACACACACATACACACACACACACACATATATACACACACGTACACACACACACACATACACACACACACACACATATATACACACACGTACACACACACACATATACACACATACACACACACACACACACACACACACACACACACACACACACACACACAAATTTCTTACTCCTCATTCCATACCCAGCTTTCCCCTTAATGCACAGTGGCACACCTGCATATGCATGCACTCTCTAAGGAGAAATTCTCTCTTCTAGCTTTTAGAGTCTAGACCTACGACACAAGTGTCTGCAGGTGCTCAGCCCTCGAACAAATGGAACCTCACACTCCACCTGTTTGGTGCAAGAACAATCTTATACGGGTGCCCTTCATGCTGTAGTGACAACCCGACATCCAGGCTCTCCAATCCCATTTCAAATCTGTACCACATCAAGGTCAGTATCTGTCTTCCGCCGAAGTCATAAATGCATTCTGCAGTTTTAAACCAAATAATAGCCCTCCCATCCAGACAGGGTATGACTTCCACATTATTGCTTTTCTTCTTCTTCTTCTTTTTCCGGGTCTATAACTACCTTCAATTACCGCTCCCTCCAGCGTCGGCGGCGAAGCTGTAAGGTTTTCAGGGACAAGCCTTTCCTGCCTACTGTCGCTTCCAGCTTTATTGTCAGTGACAATTTTAATTCATTTCATTTCTGTGTCACTGTCACTGCAACTTCTCTCTTCGACACTGTGCGGTGTCCCGAAGTTCAGAGTTAATGTAGAAACCTTTGCTTTAATAGAAAAAAAAAAATAACATTCTTTCACTCTTCCCTCTCACATTAATAGAGAGCGAGCCACAGTCGACTCCAAAATTCAGCAAAATAAAATTCCTTCCAAATGCCAAGGGACTCTTCACTGTCTTTTCAGAGAGATGGCAAGACAAGGATTATCATTTATGGGAAACAAATAAAAGAAGATTTTAGGAAATAGCTGGATTTGTCTTTTTTTTTTAGAGGCCTGGCTTTGGTTTTCTGTTTTGTCATGGATTGGTGAGACAGGTGACTTTAAAGGAAGGTTTTAATCTGACTCTCCCTCTCCTGTCTCTTGTCCCTTCGGAAAAATCAAAATAGAACTATTGGCACTTACTTTCCACTTGGTGATGCTTTAAGTTCGAACTCTGTGTGTGTGTGTGTGTGTGTGTGTGTGTGTGTGTGTGTGTAGGGGAGGACCTAGTACAAATGGTTCCTGTCGACAGTGGATGTAATCTCGTATTGAGCTGAGATGTACAAAATAGTCTCTGGGGAAGAGAAGGGTTCACCTCTGTAAGGTAAATGAATTCTTCCACAGCTTTAGGGAATGGTGAGATTGCTCTACTGTAAAGTGATGCCCCAAAGAGTTTATTATCTTTCCCCCATTTGTGGATCATTTGCCCTGACTTGATATAGAATCCAGTCAATAGTAATGTCTTTTTGGATTTACACAGAAAAATTGGATAAAATGTGCAGTACTTTGTTTTCATTTTGGCATCAATAAATATCTTATATCAAAAGCATAGAAAAAGGATAGCCTTTTTTTTCCCCTTTGGTTTTTTGAGACAGGGTTTCTCTGTGTAGTTTTGGTGCCTGTCCTGGATCTCGCTCTGTAGACCAGGCTGGCTTTGAATTCACAGAGATCTGCCTGGTTCTGCCTCCTGAGTGCTGGGATTAAAGGCACGTGGCACTGCTGGCTGGCAAGGATAGTCATTTTTAAGGGCTGACGTTTGTCTGTGCTCTGCTTCGTACCACAGTCTAGGTTCGAGGAAAGAGAGTTAGCAGAGTTGGCTTGTCAAGGCAAAGGAAGAATAAAACAAGAAGCAGAAAAGAGGAAAATATCTGCTTCCTGTTTCCCTTTGGAACAGAACTCGGAGATGGAAGTCTTAATACAGGACAAGGATGGAAGACGGAATCACACAATTGTAATTATTTCTGGGCAAATGACAGTTTGGGGTAAGGTAAAAATGTGGAATGGATGAATCATATAACATGATCTTTGCATTCTGTGATATATGAGTCAGAAAAGAACTGAGTGAATATGTCCTCCCAGAAATAGGGTCTTGCCTGGCAAATCCAACAGTGTAACTCCATTCCTTCTGGCCTATATCCAAGGATGGCAATTGTGGCTCTTGTCTCCTTATTTTTTTCCCAGAAAATGCATTAAGCAAACCCCTTGTGATGATAATAGTCAAGGTGCTTTCCCAAGCATTGATTCAGCAAATTGTACATTGGTGACTGGCAGAGTAACTGTCACTAAAGGTTGCCAGAGTCTCCAGGATTGAGCATTGGTTAACTGGTATAAACTTTCCTTTGTAGATTCTGTAATTTCCAGTAAAATTGAAATTCTAAGAAAAGTACAGTGCCATTTCTTTCCTGTCATCTTATAAATATGGTTTTGTCATATTTATTTTCTCCAGAAAAATTTAACCCCCATGTGGCCAATGCTGAAATTGTAGATTTCTCACTTCCTGTCACACTCATTTCAGAACGGCATCATTCACTGAGACATAGGAACATTGCTTTATGATGCTATGATCTTCACTCTAAAACACAGTGAGAAAGAAAGAAGAATTGTAGATACTGAATATGTGGAATTTTTATGAGCAATAATATTTGGAATAAAAGTAATCAAGTGTAAAGAGCAGTTGGCATTAATCAGTAAACATATTTTGGACCATAAATAACATAAAACTCTAAAGGGCTGGGATGATAGCTCAGTTTGTAAAATGCTTTCTGCATAAGCGTGAGGAACCAAGTTCAATCCCCAGTACTCATGTAAAAAGCTAGACACAGTCGTATGTGTTTTTCATGCCAGTACTGTGGAAGTGGAAGCATTGTTCACTCTGCATTTAGCAAAGAGACAGTAATGCTTTTTGCAAGGACCCTTGGGGATGAAATGAGAGGAAAGTTCACCAAAATGAACAGAGAAGACTATAAGTATACAGGCCGACCAGTCTGGAAGAGAGAGAGTGGGAGCACCCCCAGGTGTGGTAAAGGCATGTGAATTTTGACTGATTTTACTCTTAGCAAAGATGGACAATCATTCTAATTTCTTACTCTACCAGAAGGTTCACAACCTTGGAGTGGAAAGGCAGTATGCAACATGCACACAGAGACACTGAGGCCCCAACTCAGCCTTAGCAAAGAACCCACACCAGACTTGACACAAAGTGGAATGAGGCAGATGGCATGGACTCTGATGATGCACTTCTATGTAGAAGCAGTTGAGTTGAGCAGTTGAACCACAATGTTGGTCTCCTAAAATGAGATTCATGGGCAGCATTTACCAGTGGCTAAAAGAAAGAAGGTCAAATACTTGTCTCACCGGCCTAGTGAATGGCTGCTCAGATTGGTATTTCAATTTTATAATTTCCACTGAGTTGTGTTGAATGTGGAAATTAATTGTAAAAGAATAGGCATGTGTATGTATGTGGGAGAGTGTGTGCACACCATGTGCACACATGTGTGCATAAAGCAGAGGACAACCTCGCATATTGTTCCTTAAGAGCATCATCCACCTTTGAATTTCTGAAATGGGATCTCAGCAGCCTGGGGTTCACCAAACAGACTAGACTGTCTGGTCAGTGAAGTACAGGCATCCTCCCATCTCTGCCTTCCAGGCACTAGGGTTACAAATATACACTTCTCTGCCCAGTTAATTTTTTATAATGGGCACTAGGGATTCAACTCCCACTATAGGTGCTCATGTTTGCAAGGCAAACACTTTGGCCATCCCCTCCTCTCCCCAGTCCACCAGAGATTCAATTTTAATTAGAAAGTTACATAACTTATAACCTGGTGTGATGAAGACTAATCAGTAGCCTTGATATTTGTATCATCTGCTGTATTTTTATAAACTGCAAGGCAAGAACTACTCACTCTATTTTATTGATCATGAAGATTGGGTTTAAAGGGTTCAAGCACCTTGACTATGATCATTCTCCATGAATGGCTGGCCTCTTCTTTGCACCTGGGACTACGTACTCCGGGACCTCCACTCTCAATTCCCTCCCTGTGCTAGGCAGCATTGGCTGAGATGGAAACTGCTGCTCTTCTGCCAGCATGGTGGAGTACTCTCGACAGCATAGCAGGTCATCCCCGTGTACAGCATTGCTGCTGCTGTGCCGTAAGTCAATAGCAATGCAGCAGAGTTGCATGGGATCTTTATAAACAGGATCCCACTTGATGTTTACACTGAACTCCTCCAAGGTGTCACTACATGAAAACAGATGTCACCACCCATCACCATTTTATAGAAAACAAAACCAAAGTATTAAAAAGGAGGAGTGCTAGGAAGAAGAATCAGCAGGTAAGGGGTTTACCACCAAGCCTATGGACTTCAGCTAGATCCCCGGGTCAGGTCCCACTTAGTGAAGTAAGAGAACCACCTACCAGCCATTTCCATTGACCTCCGCAAGCACACTGTGGTATGTCTACACATGCCCATGCTCATGCGTGTGCCAGGCGTGTGTGTGCACACACTATATTTTCTAAAATTTTAAAATGGGGTAAGGAAAGGGATGAAGGCAGGGATCAAAAAGAGGGAGCTATCTAGTTTGATGAGAACCAACACCTTTTGACTTTTGGTTCAGTACTTTGTTTTCAACATAATAAAATTGTAAAAGAAAAAAATAAGAACCTTGATTGCACCTTCCTGGAGCTCAGACAGTGATTCAGTGTTTGTGCAGTGAGACTGAAAAGGCAAAGAGCGCCGTGTGTCTCCTCAGAATGCCAACAGACTATAATGGAAGCAGGGGAGCATGGGTAAATGTCAGCCAAGGATCAGTGGCTCTGTGAGGATCACTTACCTTTTCAATCCATATCAAAAATCCTGCATCCAAATTGTTAATATGTCATGCGTACAGATCAGTCCCCAGATCCATTAACAGCTTCAATGAGGCAGTGGCAGGTCTTCACGTCCAATGAGGATGATAATCCGAGCTTTTAATATTCTGTCTCCAGGCTGTTACTACAACATGAGGAGGACTTTTCTCACTTAGCTTTCTTCCTCCTCTCATATCTATGATCTCATCTCAACAGATGCCACATCAGTGTCTGGGGTATTCAAAGGTAAAACTTAGTTACTCACCCTTAGAATGTATTTTTTTGTGACCCTCAGAGTCATTGAGTCAGTCTATTCCATTTGTGAAATGTCCTGTAAGCTGTGACCTTCTCATTTTTCTCCACCACCCCCATTGATGTCTTCTTAGTTCTCATTTACAGTTTTCTCTTACTCACCCTTGACAAACACACACACACACACACACACACACACACACACACACACACACACACACACTTATTTTCATCTGTTTCCTGGCAATGTCTCCTACTTCAGTTATGTAAGACTGTTTCAACCAAAGTTGATACCAATAGAAAATTTTAATGGCACCATCTATCTCTTGTTTTAAAATATATCCAGTGTTGTTAAAAACTCAATTCCTTAGCAGGGCCCCCAAGGGACTCACATTGTGTTCTATTTCCCATAGCAGTCCCATTCTCATGCCCTTCTGCTTCTCTATCATTGTTCAATGCATCTTATGTCCTGATTGTTCAATCTGGTGTCTTTTCATAGTCCCTTGTCTTTGTCTTTATTTCCCTCCGGTCTTAAGTTCTCCAGCTTACTCCTTGGAAATAAGCTGGAACACTATGACTAACTCCTTAAGCATCGTCAGCCACATTAGAATTACCATAATACTTTGGCATGAAAGCCAAAAGCAGGAGCTTAGGCTGTGTTCATGGGAGGATCCTCTGTATCTAGATAGTATTTGTAGCCCATGAGTGGAGGATCTGTAGAAGTTGTTTGTCATAGGAGCCAGGTTCATGTAAAGGGTAAGTCCAGACACCAAGGAGATCTCCATTTAAGGGAAGTGATGTTGAACATACTGCACTGTGTGCTGAGATATTTTCTCCTAGTTCAAAGCAAACTTGAGCTCCTACTGGAATGCCTGGGAATGAAGACAGTTAAAAAGAAAGTTTCTTCACTGACAGCTCTAAAAACAGAATTACTAAAAACTAGTTCATGGATTGTCTGGACAAAGCATGTGAAGAAAACAGCACTCATTCCAGCACTTGGAAGCCCAAGGCAGCTGAATCTGAGTTCAACACCAGCCTGCTTGGCACAGAGAATTCCAAGGTAGCCATGGCTATATAGTGAGACCCTGTCTGGAAAAAAAAACATTTTTTTTTTTACATAGAGCATTTCACAAACTATATGGATGTACTGAAGTAGTTCTCAAGCTCTAGATGCAGCTTTAGAAATAGCAGTGTTAGAGATGTTCATTATGTGTCCTTCTGTGGGAAATGGAGAAGGAGAGAAGAAAAGGGCTGCAGAAGCCTTCATTGTAGCTAAGAATGAATATAAGGTTTCAGTAGCAGATATCCCTAAAAGCCACTAAGGAAAGAAAGAAGGGACATTGCCACCTGATGGTTCAAAAAGACTTCAAAGAGCCCAAATAAGGGCTTTCTTACAACCACTTAATACTTATTCATGAGGACTGCCACATGCACACACCATGCTCAGTGCCAAAACGATAGCAGAAAATAAGACAGGTATGAGGAAGTGAAGGTGGATTATAAGCCAGGACACAAACAAGAGGAAAAGGCCATTCCAGATATCAATCAATGCAGTGGAAAAAAAAAACAGACTAATGTGGTGGAGAGGTGGGGGTCATGAGAGTTCCCAGTGATGCCACTGGAGCTGAGTTACGTTACGGAAGTCATAAAGGAATCAGCCTCAGGATGATTTGGGGAGAACTGTCTGGTAGAGAGAAAAAGCAAGTCTCCAGACCATAAAGAGTAATAAACGCAGGCATTTCCAGGGTCCAAAGAATGTCAAAGTAGAAACTCCAGCAGGTGAGTGAGTGAGTGAGTGAGTGAGAACATGGCAATGGGTGACTCATGAAGATAAAAAGGCTCTGAATCATATATGAACTTAGAAACCATATTCAGGCTGTTGAACCTCCTTCTGTGTATAGTAAGAAGCTATTGGGAAGTTACAGCAAATAATCTGTGTGATCTGAAATGTATCTGTGTGTTTAACTATGGTTGCTCTGTAGCTGAATGTTTTCCTGTGTCCTGCCTGGCCTGCGGTCAGGACAAATCTCTCTCACCTGCTGGTCCCACAGCTGATCAGACCCAAATAAACACACATAGGCTAATATTATTTTTAAACTATGGCCATCACAGGCTTCTTGTTATCTAGTTCTTATATCTTAAATTAATTCATTTCTATAAATCTGTACTTTGCCATGTGGCTCATGGGTTACTGGTATCTTTACATCTTGCTTCTTCTGGTGGCTCTCTGTCTTCTTCCTCTCTCTCTCTCTCTCTCTCTCTCTCTCTCTCTCTCTCTCTCTCTCTCTGGTTTTCCGAGACAGGGTTTCTCTTTAGAATGTCCCACCTAACCTTATTCTGCCTCACCATTGGCCAAAAGGCTTTATTTATCAACCAATCAGAGCAACACATTTTCACAGGATACAGAATGACATCACCCATCACTGCTCTGCAGAAAACAGAATGTGCAGAAAATAGGAAGCAAGGGGAGATAGACGGAGATCATTATAACAACTGTGTCAGTCTTCCTGAAAAATGACAGGGGTGCTCAGACATCAGTGACAATGAAAAGGTAAAATATTTGGTTGAGGTGGGAAATAAGTTGCAGATGTGAAGGCAAAATTTGCTGACCTGTGGAATGTTGGGACGGAGAGAGTTCAGAATGAGAAAACGTTCCAATGACTCCAGCTAAAGTAACTTCTATAGACATGGCTGACTATTGGGAGGCGAGGAACAGAAAGCATGTAGAGGAACTATTAGAAATTGGAAGGGAGATATTCTTAAGTAATTGGAAAAGAAATTGAAAGCCATCTAGAAGTCAGGAGGGAGATCATGGTTTAAGTTTGGACTGTAGTTAAGTGGAAACAGCCCCATCAAAAAGGGGGGAGATTTAAGGAAGGAACAATATTTCACAACCTGATGAGAACCTGCTGGTTGCTGGGGAAACTAAGAGAGGAACATGTATCAAGAATGAATGGAGGAGCAAGAGAGATGGCTCAGCGATTAAGAGCACTGGTTGCTCTTGCAGGGGACAAGAGTTTAGTTCCCAGCACTTATTAAAGCTGGCAACCATCTGTAACTCCATTTCCATGGGTCCTGATACCTTCTTGAATCCTTGCAAAACACTCATATATATAAAACAGAAAATGAATAAATCTAAAAAGAATTTTTTAAGATTGAAGGGAATTACATGAGGACTAAATTGGAACAACAGGATTCTGGAACCAGGAAAAACCTGTCAAATTGGCACAGACCTTTTTCTTTCTTCCTGACATTTTCCTAACCTATGATTTTATAACTGCACAGTCACTGTGAGCCTTTTGTTGAAAAGGGTATTATTGTCTGGGTTCCCTTTCTGTAAATGGAAGTTGCTGCTCCACTATCAACTCGCAAATACCCAGCAACTGCTTCCCAAATAATTGACTCGGAGGCTTAATATTACTTATAAATGCTTGACTTGTAGCTCAGGCCTATTATTAACTAGCTCTTACACTTAAATTAACCCATAATTCTTATCTATGTTTAGCCATGTGACTTGGTACCTTTTCTCAGTGAGGCATTCTCATCTTGCTTCCTCTGTATCTGACTGGTGACTCCTGACTCTGCCCTTCCTCTTCCTAGAATTCTCCTAGTCTGGCTCTCACACTCAATCTCTTCCTGCCCAGCTATCAGCCAATCAGCTTTATTATTAATAATGAGCATAATCCACATCATTTCTACCTTTTTGTTTAATAAAAAGGAAGGTTTTAACCTTAATGTAGTAAAATTATACACAATAAAACAAGTTATCAAGTAAGAATTACGGTTAGTTACAATATCTTTTTGTATTAAGCAAAATTAAAGAAAATACTCTATCATCTATCTTATGTTTATGAGTCTAAAGTTTTATATCTAATTTACCTTTTGTCATAACTAAGGAAAACTGTAATTACAACTATCTAGTCTTCAACTCCATCAAAGACTCCAGAAGGATATAGTATTACCTGAGTAAACAGCAATTACATTGCAAGCAACTTCTAAATTTCTAGAAATGACAGAGACATCTGGCTGCCTGGTCAGTCACCCAAAGTTCTTCTGTAACATTGGGGCCATTGCAGCCCACTCATCTTGAACTTCTGTGGCAACTCCATTTGTAATTACAGGAATATTCTTTGGATGTTTTATGGTTTGAGTCTGAACTCTTAAGTATCCCTGATAGGCTTATGTTTTGAACCTTGGTCCCTAGCTAATATGCTATTTTGAAGGCTATAGAATGATTGAGCCACACCATTAAGTGTAGCTAGAGGAGTTATTTCTCTAGGAGCAAGCCTTTGCAGGTCAATAGCCTGGCCCTTGATTCCATTCTACCCACCTCTGCCTTGAGGTCTACACCATGTGAATAAGCATAATGCTGATGCTATGGTTAAAGCAGTGAGCTTATGATGGGCTGTGACTCTCCAAAACTACAAGCCCAAACAAATTTTTCCCTCCTTAAATTATCAGATATTTTGTCACAGTGATATAAAAGTAACACTAGGTAGAACTGAAAAACTTTGGAATTTCTCTACTCAATTTACAGTATCTGCGAAATTTGAAAAAGATAGAATGAACTTTGGAGCTAGCTTTCAGAAACTAATTAAGTAAATGAATAAAGTAACTTTTCAATTATAAAAAGTAATCTGTTAAAAATCTCCTAATGATGCATATAAGGTACAGTGCACAGGCTTCTGGGACAGGTGTGTCAACACTACACAAATACAACTTTCTCTAAGTCCAAAACAATTTGATTTTGCATCTGCATTAATAAAATCTGCTGCTTCTGTGGCTGAGTGCCAGGAGAAGATGTAGGTTGCATCAAAAGGGTTCTGGTATGTAGAATTGAATGTGTCAATGGGCAAAGGATATATGAAGTGATTCTACATTACAGCTGTTGTTAATCTAAGTCTCTGCAGCTGTGTACACAGATCACAAAGGTGATGCTATCATTGGTAATGGAGGGAGGCCTTATACACCAAAGAGTG